GAAACAATGAAAAACCTTGAGTCCAGTCCAGCTCGTAACGCGTCGGCCCTCGTGCCTTGTGGGTGGCTGATCTTTAACGTGATGTGTTTGTGCAGAGGGGCTTTCACAGCCCCTCCGGAAACAGAAGGGTGGCTGCCCGTCTTGGGAGCATTTGGAGCCAGGTGCTTGCCCAGTGACGCACGGGTCCTTGGCTGCCCTGTCCCAGCTGAGCAGTGCATATGTCCTGGGATCCCGGTGCCCTGGAGACGATGCGTGTGCACTGACCGGGTGCGGAAGCTGGTCGGTGGGTCTTGGCACATGCTTTTCACCTTCTCAGAGCCTGGACTTTGGTGTCTGACTGCTTGGGTCTGAACTCAGACCTCCTGCCCGCTTAGCAGCTCTGTGACCTTGGTCATGGCACCTAACCCCTTTGTGCCTCTGGTTTTCGTTTTTTTCATCTGGAATTTACCTGTAAGGTTACCGTAAGGATTGAATGAGGTATGGACGCCATGTAGCCTGGCCTGGAAGGTATTGGCGCTGGCTGTGTTTCTGTTACGGTTGTTAAGGTGGGACAGCTGCCTGTTCCTTTCTGTACCTTGTTTTCCTCTCGAGGGCCAGTGACTTGGGGAGCAGTTGGGATGCTCTAAGTGCTGAGCCATCTGATGAACGGGACAACCCTGGACAACCTGATATGGCCACCTCTCCTCTCGGGGTGGCTGTTGGAGCACGAGCCCTGGGTGGCCAGGTGGGGCCTTGGGTGGGATGCGAGGTCTGCGCCCTTGACCCCAGTTCTCTCTGCTGTTTATGCCCAGGTGGCAGCACCATGGATAGCTCCGCGGGAGGCAAGGCTAGGCCTGAGGCTGGGGAGGACGAGGGATTCCTTTCCAAACTTAAGAGAATGTTTACCTCCTGATATCCCAGCCGAGGTAGGAAAACCCCTGAGGTTCCTCCCTTTCATGCCCCTCTGAAATAACGAATCCCTGTTTTCCCTCGTTTTAGCCAGTATCATCCCCCCACCCCCAGAGTTTACGAAGTTCCCATCTCAGGCGTGGTGTGAGCCTAGCCTTAGCCCAAGGGGAGCTGGCAGGTAGTGCAGGGCTGAACCACCTCCTGGAGCCCCCCAGCCCTCCTTCCACCAGCTTCCGGGGGCACTGCATCCTGCCGTGGTGGGAACCAGGTTGCCCACAATCACAGAGGGCAGGTCACAGCAGAGCCAGGCCTAGAACTCAGATCTCCCCAGCCCCGCCCTGTCCTGGCTGGGACGTCTAGGGCAGTGTCAGCCTTAGTGTGGGGTGGGGTGGGGCAGTGACGGGAGTCCTGCTTGCTCACCGCGGTGTCTTGGGACTCACCTTTCACTTGTGCTGGTCCCTGATGTTGGGGCCTCCTTCCCAAGGACTGCAGAAGTTCACCGACAGGGCGTGTCCTTTCCTGCGAGGCCAGTGAACTGTACCCGTTTGTGTCTTGGCTCAGGAAAACGGTCCACTGGGAACTAGGCAGGGAGCAGCAGCACCCCCTCGTGTCCAGGGCACCTCGGACGCAGGAGGAGTCCCCACGGCAGCACCGAGCCCCTGCCTGCGGAGGCCTCCGGACCGCCTTGGCAACAGTGAACTCACGTGACCATGCGGCTCTTCACAGAGGTCATGGCGGACGGGACGGACCCTGGGCAGTCAGGCATGGCCAGCCTCAGGGCTTGCAGCTTCCTGTCTGCGGGGAGGTAACTTGGCCTCTTCAGGCTCTGGCAAAGTCAGACAGCTGGACACTTCCTGCAGAGCTGAAACTCTTAATTTGGAACTGAATGTGGTTAAAGAATTAAAGGCCATGCTTACAGCTTAAAAATGAAGCCTTAAGCTGCACCGAGTTGTGACGTGATTGATTTCCCTCTCAGCAAACCTCCGGGACGTTCCAGAATGAGTCTTTCCTGACAGGTTGTCCTTTCCGGGAACATGGGGCACACACACCCTGCTGGTGTCACCCACCCTTCAGCTGGAGTTGGTTTTAATTCCCACAGGTACTGAGCGGCTGGAACCTGGGGGCCTGGGGTGACACCTAGAGGACAGCCCCGGGAGAGGCCACACTTGATCACGTGGGCAGTGATCTCCGTCAGGACGGAAGGTCCTTCCTCCCACCCCACGCAGGGTGGCCCTGTCCCCCGGCAGTTGAATTGTGTTGTTCTAAGCCAGGCATGGGTGGGGCTCCTGCCCCTCTGCTGGATCACAGCTGGCGTGGCCTGGGGCTGACTGAGGGCCTCTCAACTCCAGCCCTGCCCCACTGCTATCAGGGCCTTGGGTCTCACCACTCACTACTGACCTGTTTTCAGATGTGTGTTTAAATTATTCAGTGCTGAGAATCATTGTCTTTTCCCGTACGAGTGTTTGTTCAGAGAAAAGCACAGTCTCAGCAATCGAAGCGTTCTCCAGCATCCAGCCAGACCAAGCATCATTTCCCAGCCTTGGCTCCTGGGACGTGCGGGTTCCCTGTGTTTCCAGATCCCCTTGCTGTGGTGAGACAGGCTAACGGAGAGCCCTTCTGATAAGTGTGCTTTCTGCCCCCCCCCCCCCATAATTTACTAAAATAAAGCATCTGCTAGTGTCTGCTCTAAGAATGTAAAATGATTCTGTATCAATGTAAATAAGATTATCTACTGCAAAGAGATATTTAAAACCTGAATTGTGGTCATCTCTTCCTTGAAAGAGTCCGGACAGCTCTCTGCAGGCGCCCGTCAGGCCACCCCATGTCTGCTGGCCTTCCCGGGGCAGCCAGAGGTGGCTTTCCTCAGCGTCACCCCCACTGAGGGACAGGTGTCGTTCTGACAGGCGCGGACCCTCCCAACCTGGAGCAGGGAGCTTATCCTGCAGTGATGTGCTGATCTGAACGAACCTTCTAGGATTCAGCATGTCGCTTTTACTCTGGGAGCCCTCTCCTCTAAAGACCTGCAGTGTGGCCTCCTTAGGTCCCTGAGCGTCACCACCGCCATCACTAGATACTCTTTGTTTCCTCCATTGTTTTCAGAGGAGTATTAAGGTATTTTGTGTGTACTGTGGTCTTCTTCTGGGCTCTGGTGGCTGAAGTGGGCCCCAAGCACATGACTCTGCCCTGCCCCGGGGTTCTGGGCTGAGCAGGCTGTAGTGGAGGCGGGGGTGCGCACTTGCTGGATTGGGTGAAGAGGCTGGGAAGACCTGGTGGGCAAGAAGGAGGCTGAGACTTCCTGCCAGTCTCCAAACTCTTCCTCCATTGAACAGAAGTTTGCCGAGCACCTGCTGTGGCCTCAGCATGGCCTGGGCAGGATCTGAGACCCCAGGGTACGGTGGTGGAGAGCTGTGATCTCTCTCTTGTCACCTCAGGTCGTCTTCCCAGAGAAGTCAACCAAAGCCATGTTTTTTGAAAGTAGCAGTCTAGACTTTGAAAGGGGAAAGTGGGTTTTCTTTCCAGTGAGACATCTTCACGGCTATGCCAAGGCGTTCTTCCCTCCGATGGTCAGAAGGTGGCAGGGCAGCATCTGTAGGTTCGGGTCCCCGAGGCCTGGCTGGACTGGGTTTGGCTCATTCTCACAGTTAGAGGGCCACGCCTGAGATCTGTCTCCCGACCACCTTGCAGCCTGAGGTGGGGCTGGAGTGTAAGCCGAGCCATTTAGAAGCAAGAGAGTATCTCTAGGCCCCTGGGCCTTTGTGGATGGGAGGCAAGCACTTGCTGAAGTGCTGGGAGCAGGATGGACAGGGGAAGGCACTGGAGGCTTGCAAGACCTGACCACGAGGGGCCCAGGGAGCTAGACGCTGCCTCTCCCCATTCCCCTATGTAGTCGTCACAGCAGCCCGGCCAGAGGGCACCAGGTGAGCAACCCACCCCCAGAGGGTTGGTGAAACGGCCAGCACTGGCTGGAGCCTGCCCTCAGCTCCCTGCAGCTCGTCCTGGAGCCAGCGCGGCAGGCCCTCCCCGGCTTGGTGCCAACTGAGGGCCACTCCTGGATCCCGACATCATGAGTCAGGGTCCCAGCAGGGGAGTCTCCCCTCCAGAGGGCCTGCGGCACTTGGGCATCACAGGGCTGGACACGGATGACCTGTTGGGTTCTCCTGCTGATATGGGTGGGCTTGGAAGCCTGTGTCATCACGTCTGTTCCCTCCTACCCTCCTGGGAGGCTGCTCCCTCAGGCTGTCGCTGTGCCCCTGAAGTGGGCCCTCCTCTAGTGTTCTTCATCCCTCCTGCTCCCTGCAGCCTGATGTCGGTCTGCAGCCATCCCACATATTGGTATCTGGCCCTCCTGCTAAACCAGACTGAAGACATGGTGTAGAACTTTCCTGATTAACATTGTATTTAGGGTCTAGCACACTGGATAAGTTGTCGACAAAGTGCTTTATGAATCAACAGATGGAATGAATTTGGCAGCCCTGCTACCCTTTCAGTGCCTCTGCAGGTCCCAGGGCCAGAGCAGGGTAGTAGAAACTGTGGTGGACGACCCGCAAGCCCAGAGACACCAGTCTCCCCACCAGCTGTGTCCTCTGGGCCTGCGCTTCTCATCTCTATAATGAACGAGAGAGGGAAGCCGTCCAAATGCCCAGGGGGCTCCTCTGCCCACCAAGCAGGGCTGGGGGGTCACTTCCCTGGTTTCCGCTCCCTGCCTGTGCTGTGGACAGCATCACCTCTTCTCCACAGTGCTCAGTTCTCATGGCCTGGGGTCCACAGCTCGGTAACGTCTGTTCAAGGGTTTCTTTCTTACCAGCATGTTTTGAGATAACCACATCTCAGGCTACTGCACCCGGGGGCCCAGGAGGCAGGTGAAGAGAGAGGAAGAAGGGGCCGGTCTTCCCGCCTTGAAACTCAGAAGGAACACGTGGATGACCAGATGTTCTAGAGTGGAACCGTGTGTGTGCAGTGGTGTCAGACGTCGCCCCTGGCGGCAGGGCTGGGTCGGGGGTCCTCTTGGCCCCCCACCACTTGGCTGGGCAATTGACGGTTCCTATTGGAATTTTCATGTCTTTGGTGCCCCAGCATCTGCCACCCCTACCCCAAACCATGAAACAAAGCACTTTTCTTTTGGAAGCCATCTGTGAGAACAATGGCCTTTATTTTAAAAATAAACTTTCTTGTAACACAAGAGAGGGTCACTGTGACCGCACCCCCCGTTGTCCCCCCAGACGGGGTTGAGACATGGGCAGGGTCACAGCCCTGCAAAGTCCCCTTTGTGCTGCTCTAGCCACTGGTCCAGTGTCCTGGCCTTGGGGTTGAGCTTCAGGGTCAGTTCAATGTTGCGGTCAGGTTTCAGGGCATAAAAACGGAACATGTTGGCCAGGTCCCGGGCGCCGGGGAAGCCAAGCTTCTCGTAGTCCTCGGGGCTTGTCTGCAAGCAGAGGAGCATCTCTTAGGGTCTGCAGCACCCCGACCACACTGTCGGTACCTCAGTCCCTACTTTGTCCCCCTGAATTCATCTGAAAACCGTTGATACTAAAGAGATGAAACTTCAAAAACCACTGTTCCAGGGCAATTTATATCCTGTTCTTCCAAGATCACGAGATGAAGACGTCTCAGTCCCTTCCACATCAGGACTCTGCTTTCATCACTTTCTTGCTTAAAACACCAAAGCTGTTCCCCTTTCCTAACCAAACTGAACCTTAACTCCTTGGCTCCCAAACCCTCCATGACGGCCTCAGGCTTTCTTTGTTTAGATAGTAATACACAGCCATTTAGACATTTTCTAGTGCATTCATTGTGCCAAGGGAGCGTCTACATCAGTTATTCCATTCAGTCTTCAGCCCAAGGATGGGATACGTTCCATACACCCACTTTACAGATGAAGAAACCAAGGCAGAGAGGGGCCAGGGGCTGGGCCTCTGGTTACACACAGGTGGGTGTTAAGGGCTAGGAGCAAAATCTGAGCCCAAAATGTGTCCTGCCCCAGTCACTCCCCATTTATTGCTCTGCTTGCGTCTGGGAGGCTCTGTGGGTGGTTTCTGTCATTTAATGACTCTGAGTATCCCATAATCTCAAAATGAGAAGAAACAACAAACCCAGGGGTCTGGACAGGAGGACAGGGTAGGTGAGGGAAGGAGGGGACTGTGCCAGGCCAAGGAAAGGGGCTGGACGGGGCCCACTCCAGCCTCCTTCCCCTGCACCAAGGAGCCCAAGACCCCCCGTGCTCTCCCTCCTTGCTTTGGCCCCTACTGGGCCCTCTTCCTCAAGCCCTTTCTTGCCACTTGGCCCTCTGCCAGAGCCAGACATCTCACCCGGCAGCCACACTTCGCTCCTGAGAACAGTAGACGTCAGCCTTCTCTGAGGATGAACTAGGCTTTGTGATGCTCAGAGCTCAGGGCAGCCCAGGATGCCACTCCCCTGCTACTCGCAAAGCCGCTTGGATTGGGCTTCCGTGTCCTGCCAGGCCTCTCACCTTGGCATCGCGCACCGCCTTGCCTGTGTGCTTGGAGAGCAGGGCAGCGTACTCCTCCGCTGTGTGCCTGCAGGTGCTGAGCCCGATGTTCCTGCCGACGTACTCCTCTGGGGTCTTTAGCAAGCTGAGCACCACGGGACCTAGGTCGGCCACGGCCATGCCATCTATGGGCACGTCACCCATGGGCAAGCCTGGGAGGGGGAGAGGGATGTGCTGGCCCCTGTCTCTTGAGGGGTCGGTCTCCACCAGCTGGTTGGCGCACAGGTCAGCACCTGGCCTAACTCAGACACCCCAGGGTCAGCAGCAGAACTGAGTCAGAAAACAGGACGTGGTGGAGCTCTGCCGCTGGCAGGCCGTTCAAATCCTGGGAGCCGGGCTGGGGAGAACTCCAGGCCTGCCACCCATCGGGCCTGAGACGGGAACAAGCAGAAGGAGGGGAAGGGGCTTTGAAAGGTGCCCTGCCCAAGAATGGGTGCAAACCCGTTCCTGACGTGGATGCCCACGGAGGGTGCTCCAAACGCCAGCAAGAAAGCTCGAGTGGCCAAGGCTGGGGCCGAGCCCAGAGCAGCGTGGTGGGTTCTGATAAACATGTTAACAAGTGACTCTACCGGCCACAGTGTGGCTCTGGGGGTGGAGAGGCAGAGCTCTGTCTAGATGAGGCACCTGGAGCCCTCCGGCCCTGCCTGTAAAGTTTCCACGGCTGCCCATTCAGACCACCCAGGAGCCTGTGGGGATGGAACTCCAGCTCAGTGATGGAACACAGGCGGCTCTCTGATGATGGCTCTCCGAACTGTAAAGGGTGGTGTTGGGGTGCCAACTCAGGCCCAGACTCTGCCCAAGGGAGGGTGAGCAGGGATCACGCAGAGGTGAGGAGCCAGGGGAGGGCGCTGACCCCTCCCACTCTGCCTACCGAGCCTCCCATGCTGCCCCGCCAGCGGCAGGACATAGGTCGGACACAATGCCCTCCACGCTGTTTGCAGATTTGCAGACGAGCAGAGAAGAAAGTGCTTTCCTACCCCTGGGAAATCAACTGGACCTAGCCCTCCAAACCCTCTCCTCACTGATAAGGCAGAAACAAGAACCACACTCGTTTCTGCAAAGCTCTCCAACAGACAGCACAGCATCCCTGCACTGGGCAGATCTTCCCTGGGGAAGTCCGAGTCATGCCCATCTCATGGGACAGGACATGGAGGCCCAGTAGGGTCATGGGTCTACTGTGAGAGGGCCGGGGCTCAGACCTGGAGCCCTCGGAGGACAAGCCCACTCTCTGGGTCACTGTGGCTCCGCACGGTTCCAGCAGACGCCCGAGGGAGCACACTCACTCAGCAAGTAGCTCCTTCCATCCGGGGCTTTCTGGGGCAGGAAGTAGGAGAGGAGGTTCTCAAAATAGCAGGGCAGCCGCACGCTGGTCATGGGGACGCCGATGTCCCGGAAATACTCCTCCACCTCCCCTTTGCCGTCAAAGTGTCCCGCTGTCAGTCTCCCCCCCGTTAGCTTCTTGATGTTCTCCAGGCCGCTGTAGACCACGTAGCACAGGCCCAGGCGCTTGGCCAGATCGGCCAGCAGCTTTCCCTGGCAGGTGGGCAGGAAGGGAGAAGCCACAAAACTCAGAGGAAGGGTGTGTGTCCCCATTGTGGCCCTGGCTCTCCCACCCCAGGGGCCACTGTGCCAAGAGCCACAAGTCACTAACCCCTCTGATAAGGCTCCCCCTTTCTTGTGTGGCTCCCACAGCATCACATCCTCTACCCCAGGATTAGAAGCCTCCCACCAGCCACACAGCCTTAGCACCCCTTCTCCAGATCATCCAGGTTGTCCCACCGTCCAGGGTACTAGACCAAAGTCCTCCATGTGCCACCTGGGAGGGGGTGCACAGAGGCTTCCCGTCTCTGCCTGTGCTTAGACAGCACCTTGCGCCGTGCTGTGCCGTCTTCCTTGGAGAGCCCCAGCCGCCCCTAAGGAAGTGCTATGGCTCAGCTGTTCAGCACAGAAGACACGCCACATGGGCTTAAGACTGGCTCTGCAGCTCCCTGGCTGTGCCTTCCAGGACAAAGGGTCTAACTGCTCTGGCCTCGTTGGTTAAATGGGGACCCTGCTGCATAAGGCTGTGTAGGGGGCTGGATGGTGGCCTCCCAAGAGACATGTCCACCTCCCATCTGTCAGAACCTGTGAATGTCACATCGTTTGGGAGAGGGTCTCCGCAGATATTTTTTAAGTTAATAAACGAGATCATCCTGGATTATCCTGGTGGGCCCTCAAACCAATGACAAGTGTCCTTATGAGAGATGGAAGAGGAGACAGGGAGAAGAGGAGAGGCTGCGTGAAGACAGAGGCAGAGCCCGGGGTGACGTGACCACACGAAGAGCTGGCACCTCCGGACACCGGAAGAGGCAAGCCTCCAGACAGTGCAGGGCCAACACCTTGCTGTTGGACTCCTGGACTTAGAGCTGGGAGAGAATAAATTCCTGTTGTTTTAAGCCACCTGGCTTGTGGTCATTTGTTATGGCACAGGCGGTCAGGTTGACAGGATCTGCATGAACCAGAAAAGTTCTCTTTGTCCACCCTCTGAGATGGGCTTCCAGGTAAGACAGCAACTGAAGGCTCGAGGTTAAAAACAGAGACCAGTGGTCCAGTCCAGCTTCCCTTTATGGACCCAAGTGGCCCCTTTACATAAGAGGAAAGAGAGACCAGCTCAGGGAAGTCACATCCACAGTCAAGGCGGTGGGGAGCCGTGGACGAGGCAGGACTGAAAGCCAGGGGTCTCAGCCCTGGAACTGGCTGCGCCAGTCATACCTTCTACAAATACCCAAGCGCCTGCTATGTGACAGGCCCACTGCAAGTGTCTCTACCTTCCAGGAGATTTTAAAAAGATGCATGTTCGTCTCACATCCCTCCCACGGCAGCCTGGGCTCAACAGCCACCGACCAGAGAGAAGCTGGGTGGAAAACAGAATAAAGAGAAACATGACACATCTAAAAAGGGACATGGCAGATTTGGGGAATGTTGGTGATGGATTATACTTTGATTGTTGTCGTTGTTCAGTTGCCAAGCTGTGTCTGACTCTTTGTGACCCCATGAACTGCAGCATGCCAGGCTTCCCTGTCCCTCACCACCATATTTTGATTAGAATGGTAGTTCCATGGGTATGTGTGCGATGTGTCTGCTAAGTGGCTTCAACTGTGTCTGACTCTTTGCAAGCCTATGAACTGTAACCCGCCAGGCTCCTCTGTCCAGGGGATTCTCCAGGCAAGAATACTGGAGTGGGTTGCCATGCCCTCCTCCAAGGGATCTTCCTGACTCAGGGATCGAACCCATGTCTCTTATGTCTCCTGCATTGGCAGGTGGGTTCTTTACCACTAGCGCCACCTGGGAAGTCAGTTATATGTGTATATTTATCTTCAAATTTCATCAAATTGTACGATTAAAATGTGTACCTTTTAAGAAAATTATGGGTCAGCAGGGAGAAGGTAATGGCACCCCACTCCAGTACTCTTTCCTGGAGAATCCCAGGGATGGGGGAGCCTTGGTGGGCTGCTGTCTATGGGGTCGCACAGAGTCGGACACGACTGAAGCGACTTAGCAGCAGCAGCAGCAGCATGGATCAGCAGAGTTGTTTAGAAAATGTGAAGTCACTGGATGACATAAAGCAGATTGTGGTTGCCTGGGAGGGGGAGTGGGGAAGGACTGCCAACAGGTATGGTGTTTTCTTTTGGGGATGATGAAATGTTCTGGAATTAGTAGTGGTGATGGCGGCCCAACTTTGCAAACAAGTGAAAAAACACTGAACTGTACATGTCAAAAGGGTGAACAGTATGGTACATGAATGATATCTTGTCACTGGATGAAAAAGAAATCACCTCCTGCCCTTATCAAAGTCTAGGAGAGCTGCATGGAAGAAGAGGAGAAAAGCTACAGTGTCCGTCATCACAGGCAGGGGACAGCCCCTTTCTGACAAGTCAGAGCTGCCCTGCAAGGAGGCTGGGAGCTCTTTGAAGACGCCCGGCTCCTGCCCTGGCCTCCCCACTCCCTCCCGACGCCCTGCGGCCTGCCCTCACCTGCTTGACCTCCTGCTCCTGGCTGCAGTTCTCCCAGTAGTTGGTCACAATGAAGGTGGCGTGAGCCCCGCTCAAGGCCAGCTCCATGCTGGCCTCGTCATCCTGGTCTCCCTGCACTACCTCTGCACCTTGCAGCGTCAGCTGCTTCGCTGCCTTCTGCCCAGGGTCCCGGGTCACCACTCGGACCCTAAATGTCCCATCTGCCAGGAGCGTCCGGGCCACTGAGCCCCCCTGGGCACCTGTGGAGAATCAGAAAGACCTGCAGGGTGGAACCTGCCTGGGAGGCCTGCCGAGGGTGGCGCCCCTAGCGCTGGGGGGCGGGGCCGGCCGGACCCCCAGGCTGTCCTGGGTGGAGGGTCCAGCGCTTCCTTTGGGGGTTTCGCTTACCTGTGGCTCCAAACACCACCACCAGCTTCTTGTTCGCCATGCGAGCGGGAGCGGGAGGTGTGGTCCCGAGAGGTCTAGGGGCAGTGAGAGGCAGAGTGGGCGAAGGGGAGCGCGCGTCGCCTAGGCCCCAAGGGGAGGTCCGGCCGGGAAAGATAGGGACCCCGCCACCCCCGTCCCCTCGGACCGGCTCCCGGGCCCTACCGGCACCCCGCTCCCGGGTCCCCGAGACCGTCTGTACCTCCTAGTGGAGGCCTAGGTGTGAAACGGTCCAGGAACTGGGGGCCCGCTGCTCTGCAGCCGAGTCCACAGCTTGGGGGGACGCAAGCCTACATGTGGCGCCGACCCTCGCCCTTAGCTCCAGTTGCAACTCGGAAAAGCCATGCTTTCCCAGGCATCCTGCGTGAAGGGACCCCAGGCTGGTCTGCTTCCGAATCCCCGCCGTCCAGGCCCTGACTTTGCGCGAAGCGGACATGCCACTCCCCCTCCGCGGGCACAGATGGTTCGTCCCAACTCGGGCGAACTCTGCCGAAGGGCTGGAGCCGCCGGCCCCGGGCCAATTTGCGTCAATCGGGTCTGACCGAAATGTACTTGCAGACGAGGACTGCACAGGCGAATGCTGGTGGTGACGACTGCGCCAAGCAAAAACGAATAAGTAAATAATTTTTATTTTGCATGAACATCTGATCTTTGAAAGACAAATCTATATTCGTGACTCTTAACACCCAAGGCTCTGTCTCACTTCTTGTATGCCTGACTCATAATTGAGGTTGCTACTAATTGCCCAGGTTCGAATTCTTTTTAATAGAAAAGATCTCTCTCTCTTCTCTTTTTCTTTTTTTGGGGGGCCACGCCCCAAGGCATGTGGGATAGTTCCTCTACCAGGGATGGAACAGGTGTCCCCCTGCAGTGGAAGCAAGGAGTCCTAACTACTGGACAACCAGGGAATTCCTTAAATTATATAGATATATTTCTTTGTTGTTCAACTAAAACTCAAAAATGATCCTCTCACTCCTCTTCTGAAATTTTATTGCTGACCTGGATAAAAGCATTTTCCCCCCTCCCTTCATTCCAAAATGTGTACTGACCGCTCCAGGAATGTCAGTTTCGTAACAGTAGGCACTTGTCTCCATTAATGGCTGAATTTCCCAGCACCTAAAATAGTACCTAGCACAAATAGTGGCTCAATAAATATTTGCTGATTGATTGTCTAAACATTTACTAGGCACTGGAGTTACAGGGAAATCAAACTAAAACTGGTGTTATTTTCCCGAATTTAGTGGTGGAAATAACCCACTGAAGTAATGTCTATTTTATATATGTAAAATAGTGGTCATTATGTAAGATGCATGTATTTATTTTAATAAATACACATTTGTGTCTATAAGTGAAGGTGTCATCTAAATAGAATGTTTATCTTGCATAAACCTTGTATTGCCTCCTCCACAGCCTATTACGTTATTCTCAGAGCTCAGGCTGTATACCTTCCTCCCACCACCTTAGATAGGGCTAACTCCTACTCATTCCTTAATGCGTCACATACCCATCACTTCCTCCAGGAAGCCCTCTCTGACTCCTAGGCTAGAATAGCTACTATTTCATTCCCATCTCTATTCCACTGGCAACATGATCTCTACCATATTAGACTGTGGGCTTCCTAAGAGTTGGCCCCATGTCTTTTTTATTTCTATCTCTCCCTCCTGGCACAATGCCCAGCATTTAGTAGGAACTCAATAACTTACTGAATGGAACCCAAGTGCATATTATTTTGATAAAAGATGAGACTTTTCTTCAACTGTGTGGGTTAAGCCACAAAACTCGATATTCTGAGGTCTCCACTTTAAGGAAATAAATCCAAGCAAGAAGATCCTCAATGGGGCCAGCTGCAGAAATCTTTTTTTTTTTTTCCAGCTTCACCCCACAGTATCTGGAATCTTAATTTCCAGACCAGGGAACAAACCCTTGTCACATGCAGTGGAAGGGTGTGTCTTAACCACTGGACCACCAGGAAAGTCTTAGGACCAGCTGCATATTGTATAAGGCGCAGTGCAAAAAAAAAAAAAAAATGCAGGACCCATTGTTTAAAAATTAGAGAGAATTTAAAGACTGTGGTTGCAGAACCTAAACCAAGCCTGAGATCCTTCTGAGCCTGGGGACCCAGTATGACTGCTCTAGTTACAAGCCCATGAAGCTGATTGGCCCTGGTGGCTGGGTTTGAGAGGAGCCTCCCACAGTGGGACTTGAACAACTCCAATGCCCTTTGGCATCACTGAACCCAAAGCTTGGAAATCAGTGCAGACAGTGAGTGGCAGAGAAGAGCATCTCTGCCCTCGGCTTCTGGTCAATGGTGTTGGTACCAGGGAGCTGTCCCTAAGTGGGTGGGCAGATAGCCAGCCTGGGCAAAGGTCTTGTTTCTTGAAGCCCCAGCTACCCACCTCAGGGGGTTCCCTGGGGCCTAAGGGAAAAGATTTGGCGACTGACTGGCATTAGCTCAGCCATGACTCAGCACCTCCTGTGGGACCTTATATCTGACAAAGGACTTCCTGCAAAGCACTTGTCAGTCCAGTCAGCCCATGTACTAATGATGATAACAGGGAGAACTCTTCTCTGGGCTTCTCCTACGTATCAGACACAGACTTAAGACCACGTTATCTCATTGGAACTCTTGAGGCAACCCCTCCTCCAATCACTGCCACTTGGTTTAGTTCAATTTTATGTATGCGTGTTTGGGACAGCAGGCAGTCTTAAAATTCATTCTTTTACTTATCTATTTTAAAATATTTGTTTGGCTGTATTAGGTCTTAGTTGCAGCATGTGGGCTCTTAGGCAAAGACTCTAGTTGCGGCACGCAGGTTCAGGAGTTTCGTATTAAGGCTTAGTTGCTCTGCTGCATGTGGGATCTTGGTTCTCCAACCAGGGATTGAACCCACGTCCTCTGCAGTGGAAGCTCAGTCTCAATCACTGGACTACCAGCGAAGTCCCAAGATTCATCCTTTTAAATGTGATTTTGCATGACTCAATTATTCATTCTCATAAAAAATTTAAATGGTACATATACATAGCACAAATGAGCTTTCCCATCCCTCTGTCATTCTAGTGTATAAACCTTCCCTCTTTTGGATGTATTTACATGCCTAAACACAAATGTGTAGAAAGATAACATTTGTTTGTTTGTTTTTTAAAGAATGTTATTTAGCTGCACAGGGTCTTAGTTACAGCATGTGGGATCTAGTTCCCTGACTAGGGATCGAACCTGGGCCCTCTGCACTGGGAGGGTGGAGTCTTAGCCACTGGACCACCAAGAAGCCCCAAAGATAATGTTTTGTAGTTAAAAAAATAAAACAGAAAGAATTTTAGATATAAAAAAATAAAAGCGATTGTTGACTAAAAAAATTAAACAATGGCCAGTCTAAGAAAGAAATGGAAAATTTTATTCCAGTCAACCTGAGCTCTGAGAACTGTTCTGAAGAGATGAGGGTGTGATTTTGAGAAAAGGTTACAGGCTTCCTACATGGCACTAGTGGTAAAGAACTCACCTGCCAATGCAGGAGACATAAGAGAAGCAGGTTCAATCCCTGGGTTGGGATCCCTGGAGGAGGGCATGGCAACCCACTCCAGTATTCTTGCCTGGAGAATCCCATGGACAGAGGAGCTGGATGGGCTACAGTACATAGGGTCAAAAAGGGTCAGACACAACTGAAGGGACTTAGCACACATGCACAGGCAATGAAGCACACTTCTTGGGAGAAAGTTACTGTTATTCGTGAGGAAAAAATTTTAGTTAATGGTTTTAGTGCATTTCCAAGTATGGGAAGATACAAGAAACTGGGTTCATAAAAATTTCTCCTGAAAATATCCACCTGAGGGCCATTTCTGCCAGTTTTCCTAGAGCACAAAGTGCCTCATCCCGATCTTCACCATTTCAGGGTGTGTTGTAAATCAGTGACTATTGTGACTAATGACTCAATTGCTATAGAACTGGATGGTGGGCAACATTCTTTATTTTACAGTTTCTTCCCTTTTGATCTCAACTTTAACCAAAGTTCGGGAGGCACTTCGTGAATAGTTTGTCCCCTGGTACTAGGAATGCTTATTCTCAGGTCAGAATTTCATCGATAGGCCATTCAATGCGCTATTACTGGACGAGGCCCTATTGGTGTTGTTCATTCGCCCAGTCATGTCCAACTCTTTGTGACCCCACGGTTTGTAGCACGCCAGGCCTCCCAGTCCTTCACCATCTCCCAAAGTTTGCCCAAGTTCATGTCCATTCCATCGGTGATGCCATCCAACCATCTCATCCTCAGACGCCCTCTTCTCCTTCTGCTCTCAATCTTTCCCAGCTTCAGGGACTTTTCCAATGAGCTGGCTGTTCCCATCAAGTAACCAAAATACTGGAGTTTCAGCTTTGGCATCAGTCCTTCCAATGAGTATTCAGGGTTGATTTCCCTTAGGATTAACTAGTTTGATCTCTTTGCTGTTCAAGGGACTCTTAGGAGTCTTCTCCAGCACCATAGTTTGAAGGCATCTATTCTTTGGCGCTCTGCCTTCTTTACAGTCCAGCGTGCACAACTGCATGTGAACACAGGGAAAACCATAGCCTTGACTATATGGACCTTTGTTTGGCTACTCTTAACAGGGCCCTTTGTGGGCTGACAAAGGGCCCTGTTAAGAATAGCCATAAGCTTCTGGACCACCTGTCATACCGTTGGTCATGGTCAGGGAAATGGCTCTCGCTTGCTGCTTCCTCCCATATCTAGACATACACTATTACAATCACTGATCTCATAGAATCATCTATAAGGTCAATTGTTTCAAGTTGTTTGTCATTAATTTTATCTGAGGCTCAGTCACACATCTGGTAATGCAAGAAACCTCAAGCTGTTTAAGTGTCATTAATTTTATCCGAGGCTCAGTCACAGGTCTGGTAATGCAAGAAACCTCAATCTCATAAAATAGGCAGAATACAAGTAATATATCTAGTAACATTAATAAGGTGCAGCCCAATACCGCCCTAAGATATTAACATCCTGACTCCTTACAGGATTGAGAAAGGAATGTTATTATCTCAGGAGTTTCATGGGCAGCAGCAGGAGAAAATTTTATCTTTATGGTTGAGCAGGTATTTCTGCCCCTGGGGAGGTCTGGTCAATGCATAATGCAGGTACACAATGCAATACTAGAGGACCACCAAGGAAGTCCTCTGAATGTATTTTTGTATTCTCCTACAACTTTCTTTTCTAATCCC